CAGGACCCGAGGCTGCAGGGAAGCAGCTCCCTTGCCCCAGCAGATGCAGATGCACTTGACAAAGAGCCTCCAGTTAACCAGAGCAGTGGCACGGCGGGGCTCGGGCATCCTGGCCTGGTCCTCCCTTGCCTTGGGCCTCTGTCTTCCTTCTGAGGGCCAGAGTCCTCCCCAGGCAGGCTTTAATAAGAAGGAGAGCCCCTGCACCCCTGCCCCAGACCCCAAGCCCGGCACCAGGCAGGCCACCACAGCCCAGCCTGTCTGGCCTGCCACGTGGCATGTGGGGCATCTTGGCACAGGTGAGGTGCCACAGACTGGAACTCGCTGGAAGATTCCCCCACGCTCCTGGCTCAGCGCTTCCAATGTGCTGAGTCTAACGTCCCTCGCTGCCTCTGAAGATGGTCCTGTGACCCGAACAGGCTAATAACGAGCTGGTGATTCGATCCCCTCCAGACAGAAGGCGAAGGCTGTGCCTCCTGGGCAAACATCAGCTGACCCCGGAGGCCCGGCTCCCAGCCCGCTGGGAGAAGTCACACGGTCACACTTCTCCAAACAACTGCTGCTGCAAGGCCTTCAGAGAGCAGCTCATTAGGTTCTCACCTGGCCAACTCCGACCTGCAGTCACGAGCTCGTGGCCCGGCTTCCTATTCCCAGTCCCTCTGGGGCTCTGCTGCCTCCCTCGAAGGTGACATTTGAGTTCCTTGATCAGCATAAACAAGAATTCTGCTTTCTTCAAATAACTCCAATCGATAGAAAGATCCACTGTGTACAATGCACTGTGCCTGCACCTGATGGTAGAGTCAGGAAAGAAACGTTACGTGCCCTGACGTTTAGGAGTTAAGAACCTACTGCGCAGGTGGTGGAAGACGTCACAGTTACGTGGCCACCAAAACAGCGATCGGAAGGCCGGGCGCTGTGGCTCACGCCTGTAATCCTAGCTCTTGGGAGGCCGAGGCGGGCGATTGCTCAAGGTCAGGAGTTCAAAACCAGCCTGAGCAAGAGCGAGACCCCGTCTCTACTATAAATAGAAAGAAATTAATTGGCCAACTGATATATATATAAAAAATTAGCCGGGCATGGTGGCGCATGCCTGTAGTCCCAGCTACTCGGGGCTGAGGCAGAAGGATCACTCGAGCCCAGGAGTTTGAGGTTGCTGTGAGCTAGCCTGACGCCACGGCACTCACTCTAGCCTGGACAACAAGCGAGACTCTGTCTCAAAAAAAAAAAAAAAAAACAGCGATCGGGACATGCATGGGGTTCAGGGAGGGCTTCCTGGGCGAAGTCGTCCATGAGCTGGGCCTTGAGGGGCAGGTGAACAGGAAATGCAACGGGGCACAGGGAGCTGCCATTTCACCCCGCTCCACGGCACAAATTTCAATCTGACGATGCCGGGTGCACGGAAGATGTGGATCCGTGGGTTGTCTTTACCGGTTGGCCGTGGGAGTATAAATTAGCCACTCTGGAAAACCGGTGAGCAGCTCCAGAGGAACCCCACATACCCGCCGACCCGGCCGTGGCATTGCAGTATGCATGTTAGAAAAACTTTCAGGCAAAAATCTTCACAGCAAGACCGTTCAAGTGCCCAAGACGGGAGGAGTGGATAAACCACGGAGGACACATCTCTCTCTC